AGAGAGAGAGAGAGAGAGAGAGAGAGAGAGAGAGAGAGAGAGAGAGAGAGAGAGAAGGGAAAATATAAGAGGTAGAGTTACGGAGACCTTACACGAGCACGGCAATTGTTAGTTGGTGCTCAGTGGACTGCCTTGATTAATTCACATCATCGATATATTCCCCATATCATGCGAAGAACCGATATATATGACATTGGTATTAAAGATGACTCAGTATCAAACAAGATTCCGAGAAAATCGAGTAAGAATTAACTTAATCGCAGAGTAACAAACTGGGTAAGAAGATAATAGACAATATTGGGAGAAAGGCGATTATTTTGATACCTTTGGTCGATATCAAGTAATTTGATGCTACACGTCTGTGGGATAATTTCGGTTTATTTTCTAGGCTTCTTAGTATACTGCATGGTCAAATCACTCTATCTTTGTGGATATTCTGTTTCCGAATGCACCCTTAGAGGTAGAGGATAGATAGATAGATAGATAGATCCCATTCCCATGCCTAGATCGATCTAACAGAATCGACCCATCTCCGAGGGAATTCTTGCTAAATTTCTCTCAGCTTAAGCGGCTTAGATGTCTGGCACGCCTACTGAAGTGTTAAACGATAGTTAAGAACCCCCTAACAGCTTCAGTAGCCATGACAGACATCAGAGCCGCTTAAGCTGAAAGTAATTTAGCGAGAAACCCTCGGATAGGGGTCGATCCTGCTAGATCGACCTAGATATTGGAACGGGGTCATAGTTTAAGGAGTACCAAATGGACGAGAATGCTCAATGCCCATGCGAGATTCATAACCGATATTTCGTACGTGTCACAACTCCATGAAGTAGGCCTCCTATAATGGTTCGGATGAAGGCCGATTTTTTTATCTAAAAGTAAACACATAAAACTTTAAGATCTTTCAGCGTTCTGCGTTTGTAATTTTCGTCTTCATTAAGAAACCATTGAAGCACTTAGGGAAATCGAGAGCTTAATTCAATATTATCAGAGTATATTCATTGAGTGCATCCATTTTGCTCGAACCTAACTGAATTATAATTAGAAATGCGTCAATAACAAATGAGCTATAGAATCCGTAACGAGGTTGAAATGGACTTACAACTTTGTGATGCAATTTTCCGTAACTAAAAGTGGTTTGGAAATGTATTATGCTACTGGCTCGGTTATTTGCGAATTCAGCAAATTTTTGTCAAAGTCGTCTTGCCGGTTTGTGAGGAATGGTAATCCACTAGTCCGTTCCCCATTACTTTGTACATGTGACATTCGTCCCAAAAGGGTATTAGTAACACCAATACTATCCCAAAAAGCCAAAGCGCTTCCTGCACAAACCTTTATTGACCCAACCTTAAAGAACATACTGGTAGTTTGCTGTTGCAAAAGATTGATTTCGTGTCACACGGATATAATGTTTAATTGATATTAGTTCTTGTGCATCCCCTTCTGACTTGAACGATACAGTTCACTTTGACGGGTATGCATGGAAGTCAGAAACAAAACTGAAAGTGCTTTACAGCCTCCTGACGTTATATTACCGGTCGCTGTGTCTGTGTGTGTGTGTAGGGTGGGGGTAGGGGGTTACTGTCGGCAAAGACACCCCCCCCCCCCCACCAATTTAACAGGGACCGTACCGAGACCAATAGAAGGTTTAATTTCATGTTATCGGGAACTTATCGAAGGGAAATAGTGCCTATGGCACCACCACGAAAGTTGCGTCCCTGCTCAAACTTCTGACACCTCTTTTTAGGTATTCTGACCATCAAACGATGCTCCATTCATATGACACCCAGGCTACATGCCGGACCCTCTCCAGGGGCAAACAGATTATTTTTACTACGTATTTACCGATATTAGTTATCTCCTGCCTACAAAGTACCCTCTACAAGGCCCACGGATAATACGTGTAGGCTACTCTTCACTATTACAGAGAACAAAATGACCGTCTATTTATCTAAAGACATATTTGTAAATATCTAGTGAAAAATCTATCTGTGACCCTGGAAGAGGGTACCTACTAGGTAATACTGGGCACATTTCTCTGCACAGCAACGACGACATCATCCACAGCTCTCTGATAGAGACGAGACACACCCTACTGGTATCTGCTATAGCATGATGACGTCACTGCACGGTTATAAACTAAGGGCGAAGGGACCGAAGCTGCTATACCAAAGAAGAAAATATCGTATTTATAGGTCAATATTTTCGGTCATTAAATTCCGTACTCCGTGACATATTGAATTAAACACTAAACACTAAAGCGTCATGCGATTTGTTTGTATTGCTAATCTTGGACGCCCTGATACAAAAAAGTTCTGAAATAAATCGTCGGGCATAAACATCCACCAATTCTGTGCTAATCTCTGGTATTTATTTACTTCAAACATTAGGGTCCGTTGACACAAAATGACCGATTAACTGGACATAAATGGCCGCCACATGTGCGCCCACTCTCTGTTTCATTTGGTCATTTTACGCTTATGCATCCGCATGTTTTCACTCATACCCTTCAGTTGGTATTCCGGCTACTGTGACAAGTAATTGAACTGAATAAAATGCTTATAAAAGCGTGAACCAGGAATGAGGTATGAAGATTATTTAACAGGACTATTATTAGCACCATTGGCCGGTGCTATACAGCATTTTTTTCCTTTGCGCAAATTATACGCCTTTTTTGTCCCTTCTCTTTAAGTACAAGAATGTGTTCAACTTCCGATTCTTAATAGAATTCTTCTCATTATTATTATTATTATTATTATTGTTGTTGTTGTTGTTGTTTTGGTGTTTTTATAAGATCCTAAGGGATATCTGATACCAGTGTTTCATGGTACATTTGTATACACAGTAAAACGATACAGTCTTTACTTTTAAACCAATCTGGTCGCGCTGCCTGAATGAGCAGAGTTTTCTTGTCTTGATTTGTTTCCAGCTGCTAAAACGAGAATGTCAAACAGACATTTCTTATTCATGCTGTTGATGGGTATGACGCACTTATATCTAAAAGATGTATACATCCAACTGTCACGGCGGACCCAGGGGACCCAGTTATTTCATTAAAAAAAAAACTTTTTTTTAATGGCACAGTCTTCGTTGAACCCGATCTTCTTTCTTCTCCTGATTGAAAATTGAAATTGTTTTTTTCTGTAATCACGTATCAGAATCAGTTCTGAATGCGCCGTATTTTCACACGAGGGGTTAAACAAGTACCGGGGCGTTGCCTCTGACGTAATAATTTTATTAAACCTAAAAAGAAGAATTGATAAATTACCGTCTGGATATTGAGAGAGAGAGAGCCAAAGGTTTCCTGGATTTATTCACCTTGTTTATTTGCCTATTAACATAAAGTCAGTTTGGCGGAGGTGTCTTCCTGCTGGGCTGACAACTTTTTCATGTCTCTGGCTCACGGTTAAAGCATCAAACCCCCGTCCTATGGATTCTCCCTGAACAGATAGTCCAGGCAACTTTGTAGCAATTTTCATTCGGACATTATTACTTGCGGTAATGAAATTTATAAATCGACCGACTAAAACTATCATTTCCATAATCGATTGTAGGAGTCGCCACTGGGGTCGTAAGGACACCAAATGCATGCAAGATAGTCCAGTAATTGAAAAAGCAGACGATCATCGGAACAGTTGAAAACCACTGAAGCTAGCCACAGAAGGTCTTCCCGATCGGATATTTAGAAAATAATCGAGGTAAGTGGACGTAATGGATTTTCCATTTGTTTTGATAATCATCCAAAAATACACCGCGACGGGAAAGAGCAAGTTAATCTACTTCCTGCCTAAGGTTAAATGAAAGTATTGGTGTAACTAAACTTTAATGAGAAGCGATGAAAATCGTCTGTAAAAGAGCAATATATCTGATTGAAAAAAAGACTTAGTTTCACAAATTCTAAGAACCTGGAATTGGGTAATGTTTTATTTACGGAAAATACGCGAACACGAGGGACATTTTGGCGTCCGTGCGTGCCTCGGGAAATAAACGCGGTCTTGGGGAGGAAATAAACCTGTCTAGGAACAACAACTCCGTCAACTTCGAACAACGTTCAACGGTTATCAGTAGCATACATACCATGGCCAGGGCTAGTATCCCTATCTGCTAGCGGCGTGGTTTTACGATGTTTCTCAGAATCAGTTTTGAGTTTTATTCTTATAAGTTTTTGTATATATTATTAAAGCGCGAATACACAATGCGTGTGGTATGTAACAGACTGGATAATGGCTTTGTTATATCCTGGTTGTTTGCCGTGTCCTTTATCTTATAATCTGACAGTGGTTTTCTAATTGCAAATAGCAAACAAAAAAAAAAAAGATTTAATATATCTTGGCTGATTGCTAGATCCAAGTTTTTAAACACGCTGTGGACTTATGAGCCCAACTCTAATAAAAATAAGTTTTGAATCACTTAATTACTCAATAACATACCCTTGACTGGTGAATCAAGATTATTTGCTTTCCGCCCAAATTGCACGTTGTTATAGACTTGAACTATGTAATGTGTCTACATGTATAATGATGGAATACGAAACCATCAACCCAAACTTAGTTTATAATGAACACTGGCGCAATAATCTATATAGGAAAAAAATTATAGCCTAGGACATGGAAAAAAACGATAAGCAATTGGAGAGGTAAGCCGGAACTCTGTTGGCCTACATAACGTCATTAAGATACACTTTTTAGAACGCGTTTGTTAAATTGACTTACTCCAACTTAATGGTGACCGTGACGCTTTAAGAGCAAACTCCAAACATGGAGAAAAATTTGAAGAAACTGGTGGTCAGAAGGACCTGCACTACAAGAACCCCCCCCCCCCCCCAATTCTGTAGTGGTCCGAGCGCAGTATTTTATTTCGATGACCTGGCAATTTTCTCTTGTCTGGTGAAGTGCAGTATAATCGTTACGTACTCTTGTATTAAAAAATGTTTAGGGAACGTCTACACACTAAATGCAGTGTTTATTTCCTGAACTGTGTCTTTAATTAAATATCAAGTCAGCGTTATCTTCAGTACGGTACATTAACCCATGTTCACAGACTTAATCTGCCGTGTTATGGAGTATCACTTTTTATGCCTATATTAGTTACAGTTTATGTGATATGATTTTGAAAGGAAATTGCCATTTTTGATTCCACTGCGATGACTTGTCGTAGTTTCTTTCGGACAAAATTAATGTGTGTAGCCAAATGTTCACAAGCACAACGAAGCTCTGTTTTTGCTCAAAGGTAAATAAGATAAAGTCCGTATGACTGCAAATTGTCACTTTTACAACACGATTGGGCAGCGTCTAAGACCCCATTCCCAGAGATTAGATCGATCCAACTAGATCGACCTAACTCCCTGGGGGTTCACGCTAAATAGCTGTCAGCCGAGCGGTCAAGAACGTTAATTACCCCCTTACAGCTTGTAGTGGGCGGGACGGACATTTAAGTCGGATTATCTGACAGTAATCTAGTGAGACTCCCCACGGGGACAGATCGATCTAAAATCTATGGGAATGCGCCCTAAGTTATTGTTACAAACAGTTATATGAAAGTGAATGACACGCCTCCTCTTGTTTCCAACATAGTCGTTTAACTACAGACTTTTCTGAATTCTACTCTACTCAGGAGTAGGTGTGTCATTCTGTTAAGCTGATTGCACTCAGCGAGAGTACCCTCATAGTTGGATCGATTTACGTAGACCGATAGTGCCTATGAAAATGTGACCTGTTTGTCATTGCTGCAGCCTTGTTTGTATGAAATGTTTTATGACATTTGTCACCGTGAAATGAAAAATAAAAATTTCATCTCTAATTCTCAAAAATTTCATCACTATGGTAAGAGTGTAGTGTCTGTCTTTGTCTGTGTGTGTGTGTGGGGGGGGGGGGGG